ACTTGGAGTTCCAGATCTATATTTTAGGTTTATCACCTATTTACACTTCAAAAGCAAGGACAATGTGCAGACCTATTTTACTGTTAAACAGAATCATCATCTTCTAAGGAATAGCCTTGAAATCCTACTTTGATTAACAACATGTTGTTTATGAAACCAAAATTATTTCCTTGCTCTATCTCAGCCCCTCTGTTTTATTTTGCTTGAGAGAGAATCAGTTTGAAATAAAATTTTTGTCTTAGGATGACTTATAAATTTTCAGCTTTGTCTGTCTTAAATTATTTATATAAATTACTTACAGTACTGTTCTATCCCTATTTAGAACATACATGTAAGTATTTGAAACTGAGTACAGTTGCACAGGATTCTATTCATTGGGCTTTCTTTCAAGCCAGAACTTGAAAGAAATTTCCTGACAATACAATAAAGCAAAACAGAAGCAGCAGGAAATTTAGCAAGGTAAAGGAGATAGCAGGAGTTGAACCATGGTGATTCTGCTGCTGTCCTAAGGCAAAACCTTGCCTTTCTGTACCCAGGTTAAGCCTAGAGACTTTGGCCTTTGAAGATCATCCATCAATCTTCAGGCCCAAGGGATTGGTATGAACTGCAAATTAGAAGCGTCAGTCCCCGTAAACTCAGGAAGTGTCATGGATATTTTTGTGGGTAAAGGGATTTCAGTAATTTTAGATCACAATTATTTAAACTGATGGTAAATTAACTCCGTACTAAGTAACTGTAAAAAAGATAACATAATTAAACACCTGAACATATTTGTAGCCTTGTGTGACATTTAAAATTAAGGGTGTATGTGACAAGAGGAGAACATTTTACCAGAAAAAACACCTAATGGCATTACCTGTATGAGAAATCAAGATCTGGTCCTTTGGCCAGTATACACTGGTCTAAACTTGCAAAGCAAAACTGAGCAGCAATCCCCAGACTGGAGAAAAGGTAAGCTCCAATGATCTGTTAGAGAAGAAAGGGAAATCAAGTTATATTGCACTGACAAGATAATTCCTTTCAGTAATTTTTCTCAATAACTTCTTCTGAAGTCAGACAGGACATACTGTGTTTTTCTGAGCTGTTGTGGGGCACACTTTTTTACCATCTCTTTTCTAGCTGTATCTTCTCCATTCTGTCAGTTATGATTGATAACTGATGTTACGTATAATCATGTGAGGAATGATGACTTCTCCAATCAGATGACTTTAACTCTCTCTTCTTGCATCAATATTTAATTCTTTAAATAGGAAGATGCTGTCAGTAATAATTAAAATTATATTTTCTCTTGTTTTCATCAAAATTTGAAAGTGTTTTATAAATACCTGCTCAGCTTTCTACCTGTGGCTAGTTAATTAATACCCCTTTTTGGTGAAAGGGGGGAGACTCAGGCATATAGAAATGAAATAACGAAGGTAGGACAGCATGGCATTGGCAGGAGCCAGGAACAGAATTCAAACTTACTGCCTAAGTGACTTCCAGTGACGGAAATAGATACACCCTTCAGGCAAAATACAAATGCATGAAAATATTTGGAACTTGGCAGCCTGGAAATATTGCATGCTTCCTGCAAATGTGTCATTCCAGTATGTCAGTTAAAAATATCTGTGAGAATGAAAGGGATATTCACAGAAGGTAGCTTACATATAATCATATTGTATAGAATCCTGTAAATAGTTTTAATATTATCAATAATTTTTACTAGACACTAAGCACCTCAGTATTTCTCAGGTGTCCTTGGGGCTTTTTACATATGGATAACATTCAACCACGAGCTCTTCACAAAAATTTGAAAATACGACACAAAGAGTATGTCCATATTATGAAGTAGAGTTGCATGAATACATTTCATGAGTGTTTAAGTTATGATTATTTTGGATGTATTTTGCACAATATTTCTGTACTAAAAGACAACGTACCGGAAAGTGGGGGTGGTTCTTTAATGTAAGACCAACTATCAGCAGCATACCAGATCCTGCCCAAACAGGACATGTAGGTGACATGTTTCACCGTAGGTGCTGGAGTAGTGTGTAAATACAAAGAAGTTGGGAAATAAAAAAAGTCTCAGAAATAGAAGACACCCCCTCCTGCCCCAATGAAAACTTTCTGAGTGAGGGGAAATGCTAGTCTCTGAGCTGCTGGAGCTGAAGATCTTGATTACATGAGTTGGCAAGAAATATACGTTGTAAATCAGAGGAGAATCTAGACCAATATAGTTCTACAGAAGAGACATGATGCTGAGAAGGCCTTGACCCAAAACTCCTACTCGGCAGAGTAATGGGGATGCTGACAGACAGAATAACGTGTGGGTGTCCATGACTCTGCCTAGCTGTGTCTTTTTTTTTTTTTTTTTTTTTGGTGCTGTCTAAAGTAGATCATTCTTTTTAGGATCCCTTTTTTTTGTGCAAAATCTTAAACTGTTTGTGTCAAGCATCAGGCAGTTCTGCAGAGATAAATGTACCCCTGCGAGTGAAGCATTAGGGAAGGATGTGTTTATTTTCTTGTGGGTAGTGTGAGGCAGCTGTCAGAGGAAAACGCATTTTCCAGAATAAGAATTGATCACATCGAAGGCTGAAAATAAAGCACAATAGCCTGTTCAGACCAACAGAGGCTACAGTTGCAGTGGATGCACGTGGCGATGCTGTGATTATACAGGGGTGGTTTAGGAGGGTGGCGATAGCCAGCAGGAACAGTATTGAGCAAAATCAGGTTTCTTCAACTAGAGGTGATTTGAAGACACTTAAAATTTCACAGATCAGACCTTTAATCCAGCTGGCAAGGTTAGCTGAGCTACTGCTGGAAGATGAGATCAGACTGTGCCCTAGACCGTTGGAAAGCAGCTCATCTGAACGTGTGGGATGGTGCAGTAGAGCAGCACAGCTCCCTTAGAAGTCTGTCCAATGCCACAGTTATTGCAGTAGTTAAACCTGTAGTGTCCCTATGATGGCAGTAAAAAAAAAAAAAAAAAAAAAAAGTATACCATGTATAAATCACTTTATTTCCTTGATCACATGAGTATTACAATATTACAGAGTAATGCTACATGGATGGTAACAAAATATTCTTTGGGTTTTCGCAAATAATTTTTTCCTCCTAGAAAACTGTTATCATAGCAAAGGGTCTCAGTCTAGCCAGGCAGGTTGTTGCCCTATGAAGCAGTGCGCTTCTTTGGGCTATTGCGTAGTGGTTAAATAGCATTCCTAGTCACAAGCCTGCCAAAAGCTGAACTTTTGCTTTACCTCCTTCATTAAGAAACTGAATTTAGCTCTTGCAATTTTTTATTTTTTTGGTTGTTGGTGGTGGTGGTGGTGGTGAGACTAAAATTCATTTCACTCACTATTTGGTTTCTGGTAGTGGCTCATAAACGGCTGCCTAGGGAACAGTGTAACAACAGAGCTGGGAAGAAGTAACAGTTTGCTGCGTTCTCCCAGCCTCCAGTGACCAATGACATTTTGTAGTCCTCCCTTCATTTGTGTCTTTGATGTGTCTAATGACTCTTGAGCCAGTATAAATCCAGGCATTCACAGCATCCTGTAGAAATGAGTTGCATAGCTGAGCAAGCATATCATAAAAACTATCTCTTTTTGCCTATTTTGAATGCACATTCTGATTTTGTTCAGCGCTCTCCTGTGCTTGTACGAGGAACAGTGAACAGTCTCATCTCCGTGGTGCTTCTGTTTTTATAGATGCCAGCATATCCCTCTTCAGTCACGTAGTGTCCCCTGACTAAAGAAACCGGGTCTCAGGCACAATCCATTAGATGTGTTTGATCATTTCTTTGTCACATTTATTTGCTTGTTTTGTTCTCTCTTTTTTCTTTTTGTATTTGTGTGTCTTTTTGATGGGAGACTAGAACACCACAGAGAAGCCAACACAGGAGACAGCAGTCCTTTGACAGTAACATGTGGATATCCTGTGGGCTCTTAATCTTTTGTTAGTAATTCCAATTACTGAATTATTGCTATTTCTGATGCTACTAAACATGAAGACAGTGGGGGGTTTGTGGATCTGTCTGCTATACTATTAGGTCTTTTTCCTGATTGGTAATAGTTAGTTGACAATCAGTCATGGTATTTGAACAACTGGGATTTTTTTTTTTTCTGTGTTCACCTCTTTCAGGTTGTAGTATGTTTGTCCCCCCAGTGTTTGCCACTTCAGGCTTTTAAAAATTTTATGTATGAAGCAGAAGGAAATGGATCACTTGTTTTCAAAATTGTAAATTGAATGAAACTGAATTATTTAAACTTTATAAATATTAAGAGATACAATTGATTATTTTTTTTTATGAATGTACTGTGTTGGAATGTTAGACAAAGAAATTAGCTTTAGAAATGTGACTTAATCTTGCTGCATTGATAATGAGCATAAATAGGTGCTGCTTTTCACGCCACAGGGATAATGTTCACCCTCTTCCTCTTGGAAGAAGTAACTGTCTGTTAACTCAGCTTTGTGGTTTTATAATGAACCTGAGGAGGAATACGGGCAGTGGTGTCATCCTCCCCTCACCACTTGTGAGAAAACGGAAAAGCTGCACACAGTATCTTTTAATTGGGAAAATGCCGTGGCAGCTCCTAACTGATAATGTGAGTACAGGAACTCTTTCAGCTGTCAAACCCATGAGGAGGAGGCAATAACACTCCTGGAAACGGTGCCGTTTTGTCAGATAGAAGGTAAAATTGTATTTGAAAGAATTGCTGTCAGTGTTTTCTTGAGAATGCAATGCAGCGTGCAGCAGAGGAGAAGAAATTCTATTGTCTGAATTTTTCAATGGAGATCAAGAAACTTTTTGACAACCATGGGCTTAACTTTTTTTGAAGTATAACAGACTATAAATAACATGCCATTGCACAGAATGTCATCTGCTGCGTTCATGTATGGGTGAACTTTGCTTCTTCTGGTGTGTTCAGTGGTTAAATGTGTTTCCATCAAGATCACATGTGGCTGGAATAGATTCCCAGAGATTACATTCATTTATCCCTATCATTGCTTTTCTTTTTTAGGGTGTTCTTGAGAGCCATCAACAAATTTGCAGAGACAATGAACCAGAAATTTCTGGAGAATATGAATTTTGAACTCCAAGTAAGTATTTAGGCTTTTTTAGCTGAGTCAAAGCAGTATGTGCACATAGGATCATTCTGGTCTGTCAGAGCCCCTTCTGGTACTTTGTATCAGTATCAAGATGACTGATTTGAGTGTGGCAGGATTAGGCCATCTTTGATATGATATGAAATCATACTTTGATTATTTATGATAAGGCACCCAGAATATTTTGTACTGATTCTCTCAGAACTGGCAAGCAGAAAACTTTTTTCTCTCTTTCTTAGCCAGCCCAGTGTATTCAGTCAGGCAATCTTTGATGTAGTGCTCGTAGCTTTTACAATGTCACTCCTGTGTATGTAGGGCAGAAAGAGATTAACTTTGTTTGATTCCTGGAGTATTTAGTACTTAGAATTTATTTTTATTTCTAACTTATTGTCTTCTCTGATAAGTGTATCTTTTTATTTATTTATTTATTAATTTATTTGGTGGTGCCTTCTGGAATAATTTTAAATTAGGGTTTTGTTCTTTTCTTAGTTTCCTCAGTATCATAATTTGTAACTTATCTGTTTGGTCATGCATTTTACTGTATGTTTGGCTTGCTTCAGATGAAAATGAAAATGTCTGTAGCTTTTGCATTCATTAAATTGTTATCAAAATGTGAATACAGTTTTGAAATCAGGATTTGTCACTAAATGCTGCTTGATTATGGTGTGTGCTATAGACAGAAAACACACTAACAAAGTATAGTATGAAAAATTACTCTATTTCCGTCTTTATATTAACTGCAGTTAAGAGTAATTGTTTTAAGTTCAAAAATGCTTCCTGATGAGAAAAATCTAATCTGTTCATTAGATAATAACTTATTGACCCTAGCTGTGAAGTTCACAGAAAGTTCAGGCTCTGCCTTCTTCATTTCTTTGAGTTCATATTTTATGGTTAATCTTGCAACTTGCAATCTGCTTTAAGTGGTTCTCCTCTTCTGCATGTGAATGTTCAGGCTTTCTGTGCTAAACACTGCTTGGGTATTGGTCTCTGGGTCCTTAACATAAAATACCTCAGCCACAAATAGCTACCGAGCCGTCATGTGAGTGGTTACACAGGAAGAGTTTAAAAACCAATAGGAATAAGAAAGGTAAAACATTCAGTTCATACTCGGTTACAGGGGCCTCCAAGTTTGAAATGTAGAGGTTTCCCTCATTTATTTCATTAAAAATGTTATACCTACAAAAGTTGTGACTTTATCAATGTATATATGTATGTTATTATTGAAGATTTTTTAATCATAGGGAAGGATGTTTCTTCTGACAAACTTAAAATTTATTTTTAGTAATTCTGGAAACTTTCAAATCCTTGTAATTTTTGTGATGTAATCTCTCCTAGGCTGTATCAATTTATTAACAACCAATTTGTAACCTATAGTTTCTGTAACACTTGATAATTTTTACTGCACAATGTGTCAGTAATTTTTAAAAGCAAATAAAATAGGTCTGGTGGGCATCGGTATGGGTAGGCTACCAAAAATATGCAAACTACTCTAAAGACTGTGTATCTGTCAAGATTCTGCTAAGGTGTACACTGCCTTACACTTGTTAAAGCAGCAGTCTAAACCTGGAACTGTCATTTCAGATATGATTCCTCTGGCAAAACAGCCAGGGAAGTTGTAGTTCAACAAGGAATGTTGTAGTTCAAGGGAATGTGTTAATGCTTCATCTCTTATTCATGACTTGTCAAATACCTGGAGGCTTTGAGTAAGCTAAACAATGTTCTAGTAAATAAGTAAATCTAAAGAATTGTAGTACCCTTATAGTTTTCAGAAGAGACTTAAAAGTACAAGGCAGGGAGATAGTTTACTTTTCTTCCATGAATAAAAACTCTGAAAACCTTCTCACAAGACCCTGAATATACCTATTAAAAAAAGCTGCTTCTGGACTAAAGAAGGTCTGAATAATGTAAAGCATATTGTCTAATTTTCTTAATTAAAAATAAAATTTTATTTTCCACGATTATCTATACTTATTCAGATATTTGATAACTGAGGATTTAATTAATGTTTTAAAGGTTTTTACTGGTTTTCACGTTTATTTTTTTTTAGTCTATAAATCAGTGTCTTGCAACTATTCCAACTGTGGAAGCTTGAATATAGAGAAGCACTTAGAACTAAAAATGTTGTTATTAATTGGAATGAGAAACTTGAGAGGTCCTTTAGCGAACCTTATTAATTTTCTTAAGATCAACTTTATCCAAATCATTTGTAACACAAATTTTACCTAAGTATTCTAGAGCCTTTTATGGTAAGAGAGCAGTCTGTGTCTTTCCTAAGCATACTATATTATCCTTAAAGTTACAGAATTTTCTTAAAATGCTCTAAAGCACTGAGGTACAATGGACAGGAACCAAGAGTGGAGATAGTAAGGAGTGGAAGGAGGAGTAACTTCAACTAATTTTTCTAATAAAAAACTTGTCTTTTGAAGTCACTGCTTACATCTTCCTACTCTGCAGTATAAATCCACGTTTGTCCTGTCCTTTCTGGCTGTGGCTAGTTTGGCCCGGGAGGTGTAATTTTTCATGTGGATTGCACTTACTTGAATTGTTCTCTAGTAGCACGGATACCGAAGTCATTTGCTATAGTCCAAGAAAATTCTTCTGCATCACTATGGGCAGATGACAAAAAAGAGAAACAATATACTTTTTTATTCTTATACTAATATATCTTGGCTGTAAGCAAATATGAGCAGTGGTTAACTGAAAGTGAAGGAGGAACTTCTATACTTTATGAAATAGTTCATTTTACAGTTGCAGCCTCTGGGGCTGTTATTCCTCATAGATTTACCTTTTGATTTTCCTCGGTTGTTTTGGAGTATTTTTAGTTAATAAACAAACAAGCAATCCTTCTTTGTGCAGCTGTTGCAGTGCTTGAATGTTTTTATTTTAGCAGTTAAGGTACCAACAGGCTAATATAATAAAGTAGCTTCTGTTTTAGCAGCTGCTTTGCAAAAGAAAGCGGAATCAAGCTTACTTCCATTGTTATGTATCCATTGCTTCATTGTTAGCCTTTTTGGATACAGAATAGTGATGGGAAACTAAAGTAGAACTTTGAGATGCAGTTTCCCTCAAAGGAGAGCAAATCTTTTGTCTGTATTGAAAAGAAATTTTGGAGTTTTAGAGAAACATTTGCCTTAATGAAATAAGCAATACATTCACATTCCATAGGGAATGCAGTCATTGCCAAAAGTCATACAGTAAGTCTGCAGATGGAAACAAATGCTGGTATGTTATTTCTTTAGTGTTCAGTTCAAACTGATGATAAATGTTACAGTGGCACAAAAGTGTCTGTGGGGGGGAACTGGCAGTTGACGGAAGCTCGATGTCCTTGAGGTGCATTCAAAGCTTCTAACCAGTTTGGAATCTCTCTGTAGCTGTATTGCTATTTTCATTTGCATGCATATAGAAAATTTCCAATTGGGAGAAAAAACTTGCTTTTGTTATTTTGATCTGGGAGAAAAATTGAGAGCAGCATAACTTTCAGTTCTGTTAAGAGCTACAGCCTGATAACCACCTGGCCTGTTCAGTTCCATGGGCAGCCCTGTGGAGCAGGGGCAGCCCGCTGTCTGTTCCTAACCTTGGGTGAATTTTGGTCAGGAGGAGCTGAGTGTGCAGGAAGAAAAGCCACAGTACACACCAGCAGGTTCCTTTATGGCTATGATCAGTGGGCCAGATACTGACTACAGTAAATCTAGGACATGCTCCTAAAACCAGAACAGAGGCAATCGCATACCATGGAGTGAAACTTAACATCAGCTCTTTACGTTGGGCTCTTTTTTTGAATTCCAGAAAAAGATGTGATCTTGAGATGTGCTTCTGCTCTTGCTGAACCTGACACATTTTAGTGAGCTCATTCAATGTGTTTTACAAATAATGTCCAGCTGTTTCACTTGATATGAATAAGGAATAGGAGTTGTGCACCTACATTTAACGTGACTTTTGAAAGATGCTGTATGCCTGTGACTACTACAGATCTAAAAACTTATTTATTGTATAGAGAGTTTCTGTGAAACAAATGGATTTTCATTTAAAAAACAAAGCTCCAAACAAAACCTGTTTATTCAAAGGTCAGTTATTTAGTATGCAGCAGCCTTCGGGCAATATAGTCTCCTGTTGGAGGTATGGGTACTGTTGATTTTCTGGTTTCAAAGAAAAAGGGGTGAGTAAAGTTCAGATCGTTACCAAGCATATGCAGCAAGAACAATGTCTCAAGAATTTCGAAGCTAAAACACAGGCAACTACTTTAATATTCCGGATTAAGGGTAATTTAAACTATAGAAATAGTATATATTGGGATGGGAAAAATAGAGATGCATATTGGTGAAGATTTAAAAAAAAAAGTTACATCTTTAAGTTCTTTGTGAACAAGTGAATGATTTATACTCTTTGTAGGATGGTGTTTGCAAATCGGAGTATTAACAAATAGTTGAAGAAAAGTCTTAATTTAAAAAATAAATTTTAAAAGGCAATTGAAAGCCACAGTGAAGTAGATCTGAGGAGTTTTCACTTGGCTGAGAGATTACAAGACAATATATAGCAGACAACCTAACTAAAAAAACCAAGTAGACTGTGAAGTAATTGAGCAACTAAAAAAGGCTATTTTAAATCTGGACAAAAAGATGAAGAAATTTTTCCTACTCTGTTGACACTTGTTAAATGGAGGAAAAAAGGTTCCTGGCCTTTTTCTTGTTTTCAAAGCAAAATTGTTTTTTTCACTCATGAGGTGATTCAGGCAGAAAGGAAAGAAGTGGCATCACTTGGGACCTGTGAAAGGATGTGGTGTATTTGATGGCCAGCAGTTACAACATTGAAGTTAAAACTATGCATAAACCTAAAGCAGTAGGTTCGATGATGAATCAGAATCATAGAATCACAGAATGTTTTGGGTTGGAAAGGACCTTAAAGGTCATCAAGTTCCAACCCCCCTGCCATGGGCAGGGACACCCTCAACTAGCCCAGGTTGCTCTAAGCCTCATCCAGCCTGGCCTTGAACCCCT